TATGGACAAAGGTAAAACGGGTCCTCGGGTGAAAATGCTAAATTGGGGGAAGGCTAATTACAATAATACTAGGCAGGAACTGGAAAAATTGGATTGGACTCAGATTGGACATATGACATGCGGGATAAAAACCGAAAGAATTGTGGATGCTGTAAATCAGGAACAAAAATAGAAGTTGCTGGAAAAGCTCAGCAGGTCTGGCAGCATCTGTGAAGAAAAAATCAGCATTAACATTTCAGGTCCAGTGACCCTTCCCCATGGGGGAGTTGTTTAAAGGCCAGTTGGATCAGAACCAGCATATTTCTGGGAGAATGAAAGATTTGGATAGCAAGATTTGGGAATCTTGGATGAAAAGAGACATTAAATTTTAATCAAAAAGAAAAAGGAGACATAAGTAAGATTTAGGAACTGAAATCAGACAAGGCTCCTGAGGAATATAAAGGAAGCAGGAAGGAACTTTAACAAGGAATTAGGAGGGCTAAAAGGGGGACATAAAAATATCCCTGGCAAATAGGATTAAGGAGAATCCCATACCATTTTATAAGTATATTAGGAGCAAGAGGGTAGTTAATGAAAGGTAGGTCCACTCAAGGACAAAGGAGAGAATTTATGCAATGGAGCCAGAGTAAGCAGGTGAGGTCATTACAGAGCATTTTACATCAGTATTCGCTAAGGAGAAGAACATTGGTGATGGTAAGATTAGAGATGGGTATGTTGATATTCTGGGGTATGACGATATTTAGGAGGAGGTGTCGGGTATCTTGAAAAATATTAAGGTAGATAAGTTCCAAGGATGCAATGGGATCTATTGAAGGAGACTGAGAGAAACAAGGGAGATTGATGGGGCCTTAACTGAGATCTTTGCATTCTCTTTAGCCATGGGTGAGATCCCAGAAGACCAGAGAATAGCCAATGTTGTTCCTCTCTTTAAGAAGGGCAACTGAGATAATCCACAAAATTATAGGTCAGTGACATTTACACCAATGGTAGGGAAATTACTGGAGAAGATTCTTAAGGACATGATTTACTTGCATTTGGAAAAGAATGGACTTATTAGCGTTAGTCAGCATTGCTTTGTGCATGGAAGATCTTGCCTCACAAATCCAAGTTTCTTGAGGAAGTGCCAAAGATGATTGAAGGCAGAGCAGTGGATGTTGTCTACATGTACTTTACAAGGTTGCTCATGGTAGGTGGTCAAGAATGGGATCCAAAGCGGGTTGTTAAGTTGGATACAAAATTAGTTTGGTCATAGCAGACAGAGGGTAGTTGTGGAGGAATAGTTTTCTGACTGGAGATCTGTGACCAGTAGTATTCCGTAAGGATCAGTGCTGGGACCTCTATTGTTTCTAATATTGATATAAATGATTTGGATGAAATTTAGGTGGTCTAATGAGTAGTTTGCAGATGACACAAAAATCGGTGGAGATGTGGATAGTGAGGAATGTTGTCAAAGAATGTAACAGGATACAGATCAATTAGAAATGGCAGATGGAAATTTAATGTGAGGTGATGCATCTTGGAAGGTCTAATGCAGCAGGGATGTATACAGTAAATTTTTTTATTCATTTGAGGGATGTGGGTGTCGCTGACTGGCCAGCATTTCTTGCCCATCCCTAGTTGCCCTTGAGAAGGTGGTGGTGGGCTGCCTTCTTGAACCACTGCTGTTAGGGAGGGAATTCCAGGATTTTGAGCCAGCGATATATTTCCAAGTCAGGATGGTGAGTGACTTGGAGGGGAACTTGGAGGTGATGGTGTTCCCATATACCTGCTGCCCTTGTCCTTCTAGATGGAAGTGGTCGTGGGTTTGGAAGGTGCTGTCTGAGGATCTTTGGTGAATTTCTGCAGTGCATCTTGTAGATAGTACATACTGCTGCTACTGAGCGCCGGTGGTGGAGGGAGTGAATACTTGGAGATTGCAGAAATCTTAGAAGCATTAACATATGGAGGCATCTAGCATACAGATGTACAGTTTCCTGAAAGTGGCAAGTACATAAACATAGAACAGTACAGCACAGTACAGGCCCTTCGGCCCACGATGTTGTGCCGAACTTTTACCCTAATCCTAAGGTCTATCTAACCTCCACCCCTACCTTATACTATCATCCATATGCCTATCTAATAGCTGCTTAAATGCCCCTAATGAGGCCGACTCCACTCCGGCAATGCATTCCACGCTCCTACCACTCTCTGAGTAAAGAACCTACCTCTGACGTCTCCCCTATATCTACCTCCACTCACTTTAAAACTATGCACCATCGTAATAGCAACCTCCACCCTAGGAAAAAGTCTCTGGCTATCCACTCTATCTATGCTTCTGATCATCTTGTACACCTCTATCAAGTCACCTCTCATCCTTCGTCGTTCTAAAGAGAAAAGCCCTAGCTCTCTCAACCTTTCCTCGTAAGACCTTCCCTCCATTCCAGGCAACATCCTGGTAAATCTCCTCTGCACCTTTTCCAACGCTTCCACATCTTTCCTGTAATGAGGTGACCAGAACTGGACACAATACTCCAGATGTGGCCGAACCAGGCTTTTGTATAGCTGCAGCATAACTTCACAGCTCTTGAACTCAATCCTTCTATTAATGAAAGCTACCACACCATACGCCTTCTTAACAACTCCATCCACCTGGGTGGCAGCTTTCAGAGAACTGTGGACATGAACCCCAAGATCCCTCTGCTCTTCCACACTGCCAAGAATCTTTCCGTTAACCCTGTATTCTGCTTTCAAGTTTGTCCTTCCAAAATGAATCACCTCACACTTTTCAAGGTTAAATTCCATCTGCCACTTCTCAGTCCAGCAATGTCCCTTTGTAACCTAGAACAGCCCTCCGCACTGTCCACAACGCGACCCACCTTCGTATCATCCGCGAACTTACTAATCCACCCTTCCACTCCTTCATCCAAATCATTTACAAAAATCACAAATAGAAGAGGACCCAGAACAGATCCTTGTGGTACACCACTCGTAACTGAGTACCATGTTGAATATTTTCCGTCCACTACCACCCTTTGTCTTCTAAGGGTCAGCCAATTCTGAATCCAATCTGCCATATTTCCCCCTATCCCATGCCTCCTTACCTTCTGATGAGCATACCATGGGGAACCTTATCAAACGTCTTAGTTAAATCCATGTATACCACATCCACTGCTCTACCTTCATCCGCGTGTTTGGTCACCTCCATTAGATAGTCAAGTAGGCATATGGCACGTTTGCCTTCATTGCTCAGGGTACAGAGTATAAAAACTGGCAAGTCATTGCAGCTGTACAGGCCACATTTGAAATATAACATACAGCTCTGATCGCCACACTATAGGAAGGAGGTGGAGACTTGGAGAGGATGCAAAAGAGGTTTACCAGGATGTTGCCTCAACTGGAGTGTATTAGCTGTAAGGAGAGTTCAGACAAATTCAGATTGTTTTCCCTGGAGCTTCGGAGGCTTAAGGACAATCTGATACAAGTATATAAAATTATAAGATGCATGGATAGGATGGATAGTTAGAGTCTTTTTCCAAGGGCAAAAATATCAAATACTAGGAGGCACAGGTTTAATGGGGGAAAGTATAAAGGAGATGTGTGAATCAAGTTTTTTTTAAAGAGGTGGTAGGGGCTTGGAACACATTTGCCAGAGGAGTTGGGAGAAGCCAATACGATAGCAATGTTTAAGAGGCATTTTGACAGAACAGGAAATAGAGGGAACAAAAACAGAAGTTGCTGGAAATGCTCAGCAGGTCTGGCAGCATCTGTGAAGAAAAAATCATCAGAGTTAACATTTCGGGTCCAGCGACCCTTCCTCAGAACCGGAATAGAGGGATATGTACCACCTGCAGGGAATTAATTTAGAATGGCGTCATAGTTGGCACAGAGATGGTGGGCTATGCTGAGTTGTACTGTTCTGTGTTCTTATCTGTTTGAGCTTAAAATGGCTACTGAGAATAATAAAATGCTTAAAGCATAAAGCAATGATGTTAATCCACCAGTCAGCACATAGTATATAGCCATATGGGTTAATGCTGAGTGATTTTCTGAAAGATTGCCTTTTTGTTGATAAATATATTTAAGTTGGGTTGATCAGCATACATGACGAACTCAGAAGCTACATTCACATGAGCCGGGAATAGAGTCTGACTTCTGACATCAGCCTTAAAAGACTGATTCCCAACACACACAAACAGGCGAGCTGAAAGTCAACTTCACCGCAGTAACTTTTTTTTAACTTTCGAAACTAGCTGCGGGGGCTGGTTCCAGTTTACGTCTAAATTTAGTACCAGCTGCCTTTCATTTCGTCTGCCCGGGTGCTTTGGGTAAGGAGGGCATTAAAATAGCAAATGACAACAGATGAGAACGTTCAAAAGTTCCTCCCACTGGAGCGGGGAGGGGAGAAAGGAAGCGATGGAGAGAAGACGTGTGTTTTGACGCCACGCGTTGATACGTGATCGTTCCTCCCCCTTTCTCTTTCTGCCTGCCCCTCAGGAGCAAAACTACTCACACATCTGCCATCTTAGTAAAGGATTTGGTGGTGGCGAGGCAAAGAGTCCGGGCGGCCCAAGGAATCGTTCACGTTTTTCAGCCACCATTTCCTTTGCTTGTGTTGCGTGTGTGTGTGTGTGTGTCAGGTGTAAGGACGAAAAGAGGAAGGTGACGGTGGTCATCGTCTTTGAAAGTAGACGTCTCGGTAAGATGCCAACCAGCTGCGCGGCCTACGGATGTACAGCGGTGTACAGGAAAAACACCAACACCAGCTTCCACAGGTAGGTGAGGAGAGTGACCGTGCTTTCCCGGGTTAAGGAGGAAGGGGGCTGGTGTCTCCCCCCGCCCGCCCCATGACGGCTGAGCACTGGCCTGCGGCCTGTTTAACTCGAGCGGCGTTCCCATGGCGGCGGCCGCCTGCGGCCTAGGAGTGAGGAGGGCGGTTTATTTATTTTGTGATTTTTACCCCCATCCCATTTTCTTCTTCGTCAAGAGTTATAAGTCGTGCGAAGTGACAGTGCGGGGCCTACCTGGCAGTCAGGGGATTGAAGTCTGTTGCTGCTGCCGCTGCCGCCGCATGCGGCATATTAATTTTTTTTGGCTCTGACACTTTCCGATATGGATGGTGGGGGGAGGGGGAGCTGACGGTGTGTCGTGGGGGGTGGAGGGTGGGGTGGTGCAGCCGGAAGTACAGTCCACGGTGCGCGCGCCGTGGCATAATCACTTCCGGTAGGTGCTGGTACGGACCGAAAGGTGCGGGAAGCAGAACAAGAGTGGTATATCGCGCCTTCCCCCAACACCCCCACCCCGCACTTCACCTCCTGTCACACCTCTGATCGTCCTGCTTCTCGCCCCCCCACTACCTCCATCCCTCTTCCCTGATCCCCACCCGTCCGTCTTCCCCACTCCCCCTAATTTTTTTTTCATACTTTTGTTATGTAGCTATATCACGCTCCAGTTCACTTTGTGAAATTAAAAAAACCCACAGATTCTGGAAAACTGAAATAAAAATATAAAGTGTTGGAGAAATTTAGCATGTCTGGCACCATCTGTGGACAGAGAAACAGAATTAACGTTTCATGTCCAGTAACTTTTCTTTCAGTTTTTTGAAAATTGCTATTGAAACTGTTTCTTTAAGTCTTGCTGTGTATTTCAGATCACAACAATTTGCTGTACTTTTAAAAGAAACTACCTACTCTACTTCTACTAATTGCCTAAAATCTGTGCTGTCTGCTTACTAACCGTCCCACCAGCAGAAACAATTTCTCTATTTCCATTCTTATCAAAGCCCCTCATTTTAAAAGAATTGCATTTTTGAAAAGTTTGCATGTTCAGGTATACCAGGGAAAGAAATCTATTTTCTGTGTTTTTGTTTTATTTTAAGGTTTCCCTCTAACCCTTGGAGACGGACAGAATGGATACGGCTTGTTCGACGTGAAAACTTCAAGCCAAGCAAACACACCTTCCTTTGTTCGAAACATTTTGAGCAAACGTGCTTTGACCGCACAGGACAAACTAGGCGCCTGCGAGAAGATGCTGTCCCTACAATATTTGACTTCCCACCACACATGCAAAACGTAAGGCCAGGATCTTGGTAGTGATGTGCTATAAAAGCCACGTGCCAGTTGTAAAGCTACGAAATAGCAGCAAGAATAGACTATGTGGCTCCTTGAATTCACCTTCAGCTTCATTTCCACTCTTCTGCCCACTACCCATATCCCACAACTTCCTGTCTAATTCATCCTATGTTTAAGGCTGAAGGCATAGCCGTAGTCCTGAGGCAGAAAATTTCAGAGGTTCATAAGCTTCTGAGTGAGGAGGTTTCTTCACCTCTCAGTCCTCAATGACCAGCCTTTTATCCTCAGACTGCCCTCCTAGATTTCCCAGCCTGGGGCGGGGAGAACAACCTCTCAATTTCTGTACTGCTTTCAGAATCTTGCATGTTTCAGTGAGATGACCCCAAAACACCAGAGATTATGAACCCAGTTACTGTGTCTATGGTATATCTGGGTGGATTTTGAGCTCCATCCATCTCCCTGCTGCATCCCCTTGCTTCCCTCTGTCTCTGTCTGTCTCTCTCTCTCTTTCTGTCTTTCACACGCCATCTCATTCCTCCTTCACCCACCTCCAACCCCACCCACCATTATAATTAAAACTTAACAGCAAGGTGTATTCTGTACTTGGGCCAATAATCGCATGTGGTTGTGGCGAGAAAGGAGAAAAGGAAAGCAGTGTGGGTGGAAGAGAAGCTAATATCAAACAGTCACTGGCAGGCTTCAAAACTGGGTCCCCATTTCAGTGAGGAATTGACTTGATTGAGCAGTGGACTCCAATACACAGTCAGGTCACTACAAGCCGCCTCAGTACACCGTGATAGAAATGTAGTAATTAGTTAGGGCTGCTGCTCACTATATCCTGTCCATAAAATACCGATTTAAATGCTCTTGGATAGCTGACCCTACTGTAGTTAATAGTACCCTTATTCCTCCCCCCCGCCACCAACAACATCTGGATGTCATAACATTAGTTTTGTGTATTATGTTTTACAGAAATTAGTATCCAGGAAAACCCCTCTGACCTCTGCGGGTATCAGTAACCAGCAGGACCCATCCAAGTCTAGCAGTAGTACTGGCACGAACACTAGGACTACTGGTACTAGCACTCGGACTACTAGCACTAGCACCAGCACTAGTCCTTGCACCACCAGCAGTACGGAAGTTTTCCAAGAACATAGTTATTGTTTGGCCAATCCTGTTGTGGCCAAGAGGAAGGTATTCCAGTTGCAAGATGAAGTGGACTACCTCCGTCAACAAATAAGAATCAGCAGGCAAAGGGAACGTCGAGTGGTCAAGAAATGGAGAGGCATCAGCAACTTGCTCGAAGACCTGAAAGAAAGAAACCTTTTGCCTAAGGGCAAAGGAGCAGAGCTGGTTCAGTCCGTCTTGACTGATGAATCATTTAAAGGCAGATGAACAGACTGGACTTCCACTAGTGCGTGGGTACAGTGACCAGACAAGGCAGTTTTGCTTCGTTTTACTGACCATTTCTTTTGACCCTAAAGCACAGGAGTGAATATTATGAACAATCCCTTTCACCTACCAAACTCTGCAGTGCTTGGATGCTTTGGTTTATTGGTTGTTGTTTGCTTCAGCAGTCGATATAAAAACATTTGAGTGATGCACATTGCATTTGTTAGACTTGAAATGTAGCCAAGTAGTGCAGCTGTTGTTACAAGGGACATTGGTGTATGATTTAGTGACAACAGACATCTGCTCACAAAACATGGCCATATTAAATACTTGCCCTATCATGGTGTGCCAGGAAGGATTGGCCAGTTAACTCGGACAATGCCATGACTGTGTTATTCAGTGGGTCCTGACAAATTACTAGCCAACTATGTGCCTTGACACCAGCCTCAGAAGGAGAACCGTCTGCGCCAGCATAATGTTTTTATTTCCCATGCCAATAGCCCTGTGTAAGTGCACACACCACAAGCTGGATTGAGACCGCACCTGATCCATTTGATACAGGCTTTTCACAGCCAGCCATAAGCAATTGAATAATTGAACAATTTATAATTGAATAGAATATCATCACTAATAGGTACAACCAGAAATCAGACTCCTACGTCTTGCAAATGTTACAGCCATCTATACCTGCACACGAAGAACCCAAGCAGATGCAGTCTTCAGAACCAACTATGGCGGTAGGTCATTACCAAGCTGATAGATATTTTAGAAATTCAATTTTTAAAATGGTAAATAAACTATTATTGTGAAGTTCAGAAAATCTATTAAGAATGCGTTAAGTGCTTTAAGGCAGCTAACAGGGCAAGCCAGACTGCTTGCAATTAGCAGACCGGAAAAAACAACTCCTGACAGTGCAAGATAATGAACAGACCTCATTTAATATGTTGTTAGCTGTTGCTCGTGTGACTGGACGAGCTCGTGCCTTGAAGTATTGTCCTTCATTTAGCAACAAAAGTCAATGACAGGCCAAGTGTCTGCTAATAATCTGTAAGTATTTTATATTTGATAAAAGCTTTTCAGTTTTAAGTCAGACTTCAAGAAGCTCTGTTGATTGCTCCCCGGTTAAGGCAATGAGATGCTGAGACATACGGGCAAGGAGGCTTGCTAGTCTCGATGCTGGGTCCATAGATAATTAGGTGATTTCAGTCAAGGAGGGTGTGGGAGCCAAATGATTGGTCTTATTTCCCCTGACTTTCCAGGACAGATGTGGGTAAATAAACCAACACGTGGATTTCTATCCTGAAACTGGCACTGAAAGTGCAGGGTGCAGAGTGATGACCAAATTCACAAGTGGCATAGCCTGCATCCCTATAGTCTGTAGTTAGTCTTACGCACTGATCGATAAACCTGTAAACCATTGATTCAAGAGTTGGTAGGGAAATTGAGGGAACTTTGTGGCCATAGGGATATTTTTAGATTAAGTTGAAAGTAACCATATTTTTAATTTGTTGGGTGTGTGCGTCACTGGCTGGGCATCAAATGCGCTACACATTTTGCCTATCTCTGTTGTCCTTGAGAAGGTGGCAGTGAGTTACCTTCTTGAATCACTCCAGTCCATTTGGTGTAGGTAGACCTACAATGTCATCAGCAATGAAGTGCCAGGATTTTGACCAAGTGACACTGAAGAAACAGCAATATGTTTTCAGGCTTGAATGCTGAGTGGCTTGGAGAGAAGCTTGCATGTAATAGTATTCCCATGCTGCCCTTGTTTTTCTAGATGGGGTGGTTGTGAGCTTGGAATGGTGCTGTTTAAGGAGTCTTGCAATGCATCTTGCAGATGGTACTCACTATTGCCACTGAGCATAGTTGGTGGAGAGAGTGAATGTTTGGATGTGGTGCCAATCAGTTGGGTGCTTTGTTTGGATGGTGTCAAGATTCTTGTTGGGACTACCCTCATCCAGGCAAGTGGGGAGTATTCCATCACACTCCTGACTTTACCTTTGTGGATGATGGACAGGCTTTGGGGAGTCAGGAGGTCAGTATATCACTGCATGATTCGGAGCCTCTGACCTGCTCTTGTGGCCACAGTAATTATATGGCTAGACCACTTTAGTTTCTGGTGACCCCTAGGATGTTGGTAGAGGCAGATTCAGTTATGGTGATACCATTGATTATCAGGGGGCAGTTGTAAGATTCTATCTCGTTAGGGTTGATCATTGTCTGGCACTTGTATGGTAAGAATGTTACTTGCCACTTATATCAGCCCAAGTCTGGATATTGTCCAAATTTTGCTGCATTTGGACATGGAATTCATAAGTGTCTGAGGAGTTGCAAATGGTGCTGAACGCTTGTGCAGTCATCTGACCTTATAGCGGGAAGGTAATTGAAGCAATTAAAAATGATTGGGCCTAGGGCACTACCCTGAGGAACTCCTGCTGAGATGACTGACCTCTAACAACCATAGCCATCTTCCTACGTGCTAGGTATAACTCACAACAAGTGGACAGTTTATCCCCTAATTTATCATCGACTCCAACTTACTAGGGCTTCTTGACACCACACTTGGTCAAATGTGGCCTTGGTATCAAGGGCTATCACTCTTACGAGACCTCTGGAATTCAGCTCTTGTCCAACTTTAACCAAGGCTGTGATGAGGT